CCACACGCCCCGCCCCCCGCCGGCCCCCGATAACGGGTGCCCGCGTTACCCCCTGGTCGCAGGCTTCTCCCGCAGCCCGGGACATCCTGCTCCCCCCCCCGCCGCTCCGTCCTGCCCGCATCCTGCCCCCAGATTTGCTTATGCTTTGCTTTTTTAAAAATGGGTTTCTTGAGCAGCTCAAGGCCTTTGGCAGATTTATGAGCTCCCTTCCAGCGACCGTCGCTCTTTCACCTTCCCCTGCCGAGGGCCTGACCCGCAGCACGTGGCTTCGCAGAATCCGGACAGCGATGAACTTTCTCCGGATGCTCCGGTTTCTGACGGAGCCAAAGCCCAGCCCGTGCTCCAGCGCCGAGGGCTTCTGCACGCGGACGCGTTCCCTTGGGACAGCGCGACTTCCATTGAGAGGGACGGCGCGCGGAGGCTGTCGGAGCCTGCCAGGGCTTAGGGATGCGCCCGGTGGCCTGAGGACCTGCCAGGAGATGCTCGATGCTCCCAAGGAGGCTGGGTTTAATGGGTGGGGTCTCCTGCTGCGAAACGCAGATGGGGAGCCCCACCTCTGCTGCCCCCTGCCACACTTGGAAGCAGCTGAGCCCGGTCAAACCCGGTTTTAACCATCGCTAATTTACTGCTGGGTTTGCAAAATCGCTCCCAGCGAGCTGCCGACCCCTGATCGCTCCCCCCGCCCAGCACTGAAGCTCGGGTCTGTGCCCTGCTCAGCCCCCCCCCGGGGCCATGTTGCCTTCGTTTCGGTAGAACCAGGCTTTCAGCCGCTTGCCGGGCATGGGGAGGGAGAGGTTTGTGTTTCACGGGAAGGAGTTGCCTCTCGGGATGGCACCACGGCAGGGGGGGCAGCCTCCGCTGGCGCCCCCGGAGCACGCGTGCCAGTGGAAGTGGGGGCCTGCAGGAAAACTGGTGGTGAGGGGAAGGGACGGTGAGCCCCGGCGCAGGGGCCGGGGCGCGGGGCCGGGTTTGTGTTCAGGCTCCCGAGCAGGCGGAGTAATGCGCTTTATTACTGCAAGTGTTTCTTTTGGAAAACAGGAAATATCTCTTTCTCTATATTCTTTTGTTAGCTAAATAGGTCTGGTACAGTGGCGCATCAGCGGCAAGATGTCTGTAGCTCCCCGCGCCACCTCGCTTCGCGTTCGGCACCCTGCCCTGCCGTAGGGCACAGGGGGCGGCCACCCAAGAAGGGTTGAAAGGCAAAGTGTCTGCTTATCACCAGGAAAAATGATCTTACCAACCTCCGTGAGCGCAGGGAGCTGCCCCCCCCCCTCCCCGCACCCGCGTGCCAGTGATGAGTGGCAGAGTCCGGCCCCCCCCTAATTGGGAGGGCTGTTGTCCTTCGTGATGACCACGGAGTGCTGCGTGCTGGAGGAGTCGCCTGCGCCCTTTGGGCTGCCTTGGTCTTTGGGGATGTACTTAACCACGGCGGAGATGAGCTTGCTGCGGAAGTTTTTGCTTAGGAAGTTGTAGAGGATGGGGTTGATCACGCAGTGGAGCAGGGTGAAGCAGTCTATGATGTCGTAGAAGAAGTAGAGGAAGTGGGCGAAGGTGCAGTGGAGGATGATGTGGTTGCCGTCGAGGGTGAGCAGCGTGAGGGTGATGTGGAAGGGCAGCCAGCTGATGAGGAACATGGCGATATAGGCGTAGATGAGCAGGCAGTGCTTCCTGCTCTCCGGCTTGGTGCGCTTGATGAACCTGGCTGTCAGAATGTTGAAAACGGTGATGATGGGGAAGGGGATGAGGAACCCAATGGTGGTGGTGGCCAAGCTGACCGCCAGCGCCCACTCGTCGTAGGTCTCGAAGGGGGCCATGAAGATGCAGACGGGCTCTCCGGTATTGACCAGCTGCATGTGAACGACCTCCAGGAACGGGATCGTTGCTGCCAAGACCCAGCTGCAGGCGCAGATGATGCGGCGTGCACGGTGCTGGTGCTTACGCCAGAAGAGGGAGGAGCTGGTCAGGGACACATAGCGATCCACGCTCAGGCAGGTGAGGAAGAAGATGCTGGCGTACATGTTGGCAAAGTAGAAGTAGTGCGTGAAGCGGCAGAGGAAGCTGCCCCAGAGCCAGGTGTAATCCAGCATCACCTCCAGCATCCAGATGGGCAGCGAGAGCAGCACTCCAAGGTCAGCGACGGCCATGTTGATGATGTAGAGGTTGACCAAGCTCCTGTTGCCCCGTGTCTGCCAGTTGACCCAGATGACAAGGAGGTTCTCCACCAAGCCCACCACGAAGATGACGAGGTAAAGGATGAAGAGGATCACCCGCTTGACGTTCTCATCCAGGCTGAACTCGCAGAAGGTGTAGGTGTAGTTCAGGAGGTGGAACAGCTCGGACCAGTTGTGGTAATCCCCATACTCGTTCAGGAGAGTGTGCGCCTCAGTGGGGGTGGTGGTCGCCTCAGCCATCCTGGTAGCTGCAAGGGAAGGGACAGCACTGAGCCAGGCAGATCAAAAATACAGAGGAACAGCCACCCTCTCCCGCCGGAGCTCGGTCCTCCAAGGAGCCTCTGATGTACCCATCTGGTTTTGGGGTTTTTTTTTTTTTAATCCCGTTTTTATTCCCCTGGTGAATTCCTACATCAGCCCTCGGGAAATGCTGCATCCACGCTGGACGATAACCTCACGTCCCAGAACCAAAAGCCACAAACAGCAGCCCCACGTGTTCCCAGGCGGTGGCTGTCCCCGTCCCGCAGCCTGGTCAGCCAGGGCCGGGGACACGCAGTGCTGGGGACCGATGGAGCGGGGGACACAGGGCCGTTGGGAGCGCCCGCTACCCCCGAGGCTCAGCAACGTCGGTCACTGCAGCAATGGAGCTGATGACCCTGGGGTGCAGCGACCGTCGGACAGGAGCTCCCCGTCTGCCACCGGGGCTCGCGCTGTTCCCCAGACACCTCCGGAGCCGAGGTCCTGCCACCGCAGAGCCTGTGGGAATCCCGACCCCAGCTCTGCTGCTCTGCCCTTGTGTGCAGCCACCGGCTGCAAGGCGGCCGGGGCACGGGCAGGCACCCGGACCATTAAAAGCGCCGGCGACCGCATCTGCTTGACTCCACGCCAGCAGGAAAGCCCCTGTCCCCCACCCGAGTCCTTGGTGTGTGGTCGCCTTCTAAACCTAGCCAGCCACCCTCGCTCTGCCCGTCTCGCAGCTGCGTTGCTGGGAGCTGTCAGGACTTCCAAGTAGGTGACAAAATTCTAAACTTAAGGGAAATGTGGTTGACCTTGACATCCTTTCATTGCCCCAAGCGTGAGAGCTCCGATCCCAGCACATCTGCATCTGCACGGCGAAGGCGCCGTGGACCCCGGTCAGCCTCGTGCTGCTGGAGGAGCTTGCGAGACCAGCCGGCCCCCGGGAGCGCGGGAGGAGCACGCGGTGCTGCGGGGGGGGTTCTGTGGCACCCGGAGCCCAGCGAGCCGGGGAGCACCGCAGCCCTGCAAGAGCATCAGCCCTGCGGCCAGCGGCTGGCCCCCCCCCCCCCCCCCCACCCCGG